GGCTTGGTTGGAGGGCAACAGGGCAGGCCCTACGAGGAGAGGCTGAGGGACCTGAACCTGTTCAGCCTCAGCAAGCGGAGGCTGAGGGGAGATTTGGTGGCTGCCTACAAACTTGTTAGGGGAGATCAGCAGCAAATAGGAAGGGCCCTATTCCCCCCAGCAGCACCTGGGATGACGAGGAACAATGGCCCGAAGCTGCTGGAGAATAGGTTCAGGTTAGAGATTAGGAGGCACTATTTCACTGTCAGGGTGGCTAGGTTCTGGAACCAACTTCCTAGAGAAGGGATCCTCGCTCCTACCTTGGGTAAATTCAAAAAGAGGTTGGATGAACACCTGTCTGGGGCCAGTGGCGGGGGGGTAGACTAGATGATCTATTTAGGTCCCTTCTGACCCCTAACTACTATGAAACTGTGAAACTATAAGGGCATTTTTATTCTTGGGGCTTTCTGCCCTTCTTTGCTGGCTCCACTAGTGCGAAGGAACGGCAGAACTGCATGTCAAGGGATGCAGTTCACGACTGACCCATGCCGCACAGAGTACAGCTGTGGAAGACCCCCAGGAGCAAGCCCTTTGGTAGCTGAGCTGGCACCTCCCAGCCATGTTGGCCCTTTGCTTCTCAGCACCACTCGGGGTGTATGTGGTTACTGCGTACTTTTGAATGAAGGTCGCAAGTGTGAGTTGCAGATGTATTGTGCAGTGAAAAACATTCGGGTAGTAATCTGCCTTTTTTCTGACCTCTGGGCTGCTGTAGAAGATCTCCTACGTGCTTACAATAGAAGGGAAGCCCTACACCGTTCACCTGCAGCAGCAGTAAGTGGCGTGGTCTCCCGCCCCCGGCCGGTCCCTCGGTGGTCCCCGCAAGCCCGTCATGGGGAGGAGGTGCTGCCTAGCGCCGCTGCGCCGGTTGGGTCATAGGTCTCCTGGTGCCCTTGGGTCCGTCGTGGTCCGAAACGCACTCTGTCACCAGCCGCCCAGGCTGACAAGGCCCCGGGTGCCGTGAGGGCAGCGAAACAGCTCGGTGTGGGAACCTGCCCACCGGGCCTGTGAATCTGGGGCTTCAAGTCAGAGGTTTGTGCTGTCAGGGTAGCGGGGACCAAAGCCACTCAAGTGAATGTGGCCACACTCCAGGTGGGCCCCCTCCTCTGTAGGACACATCTCAGCCTGGCCTGCTCCTGAACGCGCTATAGCGTGGAGGCTGAGTGCGCTCCGGAGGTCAGAGGCTACAGAAACTGCCCCGCAGATGCAGGGGGTCAAAACCCTGAAGGGTTTTCAAACCTCTGAAGGGTTTGTGGCTGCCTCCCAGCTAGCTCAAATGTCAGGAGTGGGTAGGAATAACGATTTCAGGAATAGTTGCTTTGGAAGGTCAAGGGTTTTTTTTTCCATTTTCCTCATTTTCTCCCCCTCCCCCTTTGCAGAGTGTTTTTACCCAGCGATTTCAGGGTGTATACTTACAGCAGACAAGGTGCCGTGCACGCTGAAATCCCAACTATTAAGGTAAGAGGTGGTTACTACGCCCAGCAGCAACTCAGATTTGTCAGAAGGGGTCCCTGGGGTCTTTCCTTCTTTTGATAAACAGCGCGGGAATCTCTTCTCCTGGAAAGCGCCTAGCACTTTTCCGTGCGCTGCTGATACTTGACTGACCATGCCGAGTGCTTCCTCAGGGACGCGCGGGAACGTGCTGCAGGAGTCGGTACCGGTCAGATGAGGCACTGGGGAATGCGGAGGGGCGCGATTTTGCCCATTGCGCCGCCACGGGGCTCCGTGGAGCAGGGGGCTGTAGTCCCCGGGGAGTCCCGTGCTCACTGGGTGGACAGATCCGACCCGGCACGATTGCCAACCTCTCGTCACAGTCCTCGGGGGCAGAGTCCACAGCGACTGGCTGGAAGGGAAGGGAAGGGTGATCGGTGTTTCTGGAGCCCTTCCTGCCTCGAACTTCTCGGCAAGTCGGGAGCATCTGGCTGCCGGCAGGCCCTGCTTTCCCAGCCCTGAAACGGGTGGCTTGGTAATACACAGGACAATGTCCGTGGCCACAGCTAAGCACCCTTAAAGAGAAAAGGGTAGCCACGTCCAAGGCTCGAGGATACGGGCAGCCAGCCTTGCTGAGGCTGTGGAGCTCCCTGGCTTCCCCCCGCAAGTCTATTTCTCCTGGAAACTATGTGGACAAAGATTCCCTGGTGGCCAAGGGGAAGTCGCGGTTTTTGGCAGGGGGCTGAGACCGCTGGCCCACAAAACATTCGGAGGTGCTCAGACTGGGAGATGGGTGCCACAGGTTGAGAAGCAGCAGGTGTCTAAGAGAGCGGGTCAGCCGAGTGGTGCAAGGCAGAGAAAAGCAGAGCACGTCAAGGTTTCATGTGCAAACTGTGGTCCCGGGGGTTGAACCCTCCCTTGGAATGGCAGCGACGGCACGGCCTCAGCAACGAGAGTCCTCATCTTTGCATCCTGCTTGGGGCTATCCATCGGGGATCTCTCCTGCATGATGCAGAAGCCCCCAGTGTTTTTCTGGTTCTTCCCTCCAGCGTGACTGCTTCTACAGAGGATACGTTGTTGGTTTCCCCAGTTCGGTTGTGACTCTCAGCACCTGCGCTGGACTGAGGTAGGTGCCTGTCCTCTACCTGAGCGCCCTCGTTGCGTGGTTCACACGCAACTGGCTACCGTTTCTCGCTGCTCACTTGTGATCATCTCTCCCCTCTCAGGGGGGTTCTGCAGGTGGAGAACGTCACCTACGGCATCGAGCCCTTGGACTTGGCGCCTGGGTTCCAGCACTTGATGTATCGGGTCTGGAACGAGGACATTGAGAGTCAGCTCTTTGTGGAGAACAACACTCTTTCAGGGGACGGAGGAGTCATACTTCAGCCAGACGCAGGAAGAGACGCTATAGTAAGCGATGTACTCAGCAAGGGCGGGTGTCGTAGCCGATCGGCTCTGCGAATGCCCTCGTGAAGCATTCGGGGGGAGACTGGGCCGCCGCAGTCTGTAGGAACGGCGCAGGTGCCAGGGAACAGCCCCCGCTGCGATGGCAGTCCCCATACCCGAGGCTGTAGCCCAGTCCCTTGGCCTGTGTCGCCTGCCCCGCTCCACGGTGTGGGATGTCCCGCAGCAGCTGGGTGCCGGTGCCCCCCTCTGGCAGCCAGGGTGGGACAAGTGCGTGCGTGGAAGAGGGCAGCTCTGGGTGGCTGGCTGCCTGCGCAGAACCTGTCCATCGCAGTAAAGCAGGGATCGGGGAGCAGTGCCGTGAGAAGTGCGGTGTGCCTGGCGGGGCACCGAGCCACACCGATGAGGAGCCGCGGCAGGACAAGGCCAGGGTAGCCTCGGGGCAGGGAGGAAATCCAGTGCAAGTGGGTGAGGTGTTTGAGGCCTTCTGCCTGTGACAGGAGCCCAGAGGCGGGCAAAGCAGGCTGTGACTGCACAGAAATGTGGCACGAGAGCATCAGACCTGGACCCTCCCTGCACTAGGAGAGATGGAGAAGGGCCCGTCCCTTCCAGGGCTTTCTGGCTTTGGGGTGGGATTGCTATTCAAGAAGCCTCAGCTGTGGAGGCATTGGGCCTCTCCGTGTTGTCCATCATGAAATCCTGTCCTAAGTGTCTGTGGGGCCAAGTGCAGTCCAGCTCTTGGGGTCGCTGGCAGGTTTGTGACGCTGTGGCCTCTCGCAATTCCTGCCGTCACCAAGTAGCACGGGAGGTGAGCAGGGGCAAGCCTGCCCGAGGAGCACGGTCAGGAGTGAGCACAGGGTGTGCAGCAGAGAAGATCTTTTGTTTTCCTTTCTCCTTTCCAGCCAATACAAGGCCTCAGCAAATCCCCCAGATATGTGGAAATGCACGTGGTTGTGGCTAAGGCTCTAGTGAGTACTGAAGCTTTGACGGGATTGTCCTTGGTGCAAAAGCGTAGCTGCTCGTGTTGGAGAGCTAGCCGCCTGGGGGCATGGTCACAGGGGATGCCCAGCTTTTCTGGCCGTGGAGCCCGTGGCCGGTTTGGAAACGTCCTGGTTCAGTGCCTGCCCTGTCCTTTTTGCGGAGGACGAGGGAGGATCCGGTGCAGAGATGGGGGGTAGCCCTGGGGGAAGGCGTGGTATGGCAAGGGCAACCCCTGGGCGTGCGTGAAAGCCGAGCGCTCCCCTTGCCGCGGGTGCTGCTGTGACGCACCGCGTTCTGTGTCGCAGTACGACTACATGGGCTCCGACAAGGAGGTGGTGACAGAGAAGGTCGTGCAGCTCCTCAGCTTTGTCAACAGTGTGAGTTGCTGCCCTTCGGCCTTGCCTGTTCCCGGGGGAAACGAGACTCTCTGCGGGGATTGCTGTGCGGTAGCACGGCCCTGGGAGCAGGGGCCGAGCGCCAGGCCTATGGGGCTCTGGTCCTCGGTCTGCTGCGGACCTGCTGCTGCGCCCAGAGCTGGAGCAGCTCAGAGGGAAGGGGTCTGCACTGGGCCAGCGGGGCAGCTGTGCCTCCTGCAGGTGTCGCACAGCTAATGGAGCTGGCCTGCTCCTGATTTCTAGGGCTGAGCATTGGCCAGGCTCTTTTGAAAGTTGGCAAGGCTTGTTACCACAGACAGGGAGGAGCCACTTTGAACTGCCTGACTCCCTCTGGGACTGAACGGGTGTTGGACGGATGAGGTGTAGTTGTGGGGCCCCCAAGGAGCCCTTCTGTGGGGTGTTCTCTCTTGCTGTGCGTGGTTTTTCTGTGTGTCGGTGCCTCGCTCCTCCTAGAGGTCGCCCAGCCCCAGCGCCAGGTGACCTGGCCCGTCTTGTGCTGCCCCGGCAGGTGTTTGCCCCTCTCAATGTGACCATCATCCTGTCGTCCCTGGAGCTGTGGGTGGACGAGGACCAGATGGCGACGGCAGGGGAAGCCCCCGAGTTGCTGTGGAGGTTTCTGCGGTGGAAGAGCCTGCACCGCCCGCTGCGGCCGCACGACCTCAGCTACCTGTTGGTGTAAGACGAGGGGGCGGGGGGCTATGCACCCCGGATCCCGGCAGCCTGCCTGCGGCCGGCGAGAGCACGGTGGGACCCGGGGCCTCTCTGTGTGTTGCAGGTCCCGGGAGCGGCCAGAGCACGTGGGGGCCTCCTTTGCAGGGCAGCTGTGTCTGCGCAACTACTCGGGAGGGGTGGCCCTGGTAGGTGCCCAGAGCAGCCTGCGGGAGGGCGACGGGTGCCCCCAGCCCTGCAGTGCCTCGGCACAAGCCCCGGCTGCTGCACGGGGGAGGGGAGGCTGCATCCAGGCATGGCGGGGGCAAAGTGTCTGCAGGGCAGCGGGGGGCAGTGAGGTGGGGACAGCACTGCAGCACCTCGGGACCCCTGCTCAGGACACGGGTGCACGCGGGCTGCTCTGGCCATTGGGCGGCGTTGCCGCCCTGCAGCTGGCGCAGAGCGATCTCTGCCTCTGGACGGAGTTCAACCTGCCGCCGGGCCCTCGTGCTGCAGGGATGGGGTCGGGGTAGCTGTGTTGTCGGTGACTGTTGGCCATGGTGTGGAGCAGAGCAGCCCTGGCGAGCGCGGGAGCCTGCCTTCCTGCCTCCACAATGCGCTTGCCATGTCCCCTTGCCGCAGTACCAGAGAGCAGTGACCCTGGAGACCTTTTCAGTCGTCGTGGCTCAGCTGCTGGGTCTGAGCCTGGGGATGACCCTCGAGGACCCCAGGACCTGTCGCTGCGCGGGAGCCACCTGCGTCATGCACCCCGGCACAGTGTAAGGATGTGCCTCGCCGGGCCAGGCCGGGCTCCTGTGGGTGGGCCTGTATGTAACCCACGTAGGCGTGAGCATCCCTGTAGGTGCAGTCTTGCGCCCCCTTGTCCTGGGTCGGACTCCGGCCCCGTTTGTTCCTGACCCAAAACGTGTGCTGCCCTGGCGCCTGGCCGCTGCCGGGTCAGAGCACGGCGCTGGTGTCGTCGGCGACAGCCCCGCTGACCGAGCTCCAGCGTCAGCACGAGGGGTCTCCACAGCAGAGCGGAGGATTGCTTGCCTGAGGGAGCAGCCCTGCTCTCTCACCCCAGAGGTGCTCTCCTGAGGCCCAGGGCTGCACGGGAGCATGACGCAGAAAAGATGGCCCTGCTGCCGTGTCCTGTGCAGGTGGAATGCGCTCCGCCTGGGGTGCCCATCAGTCAGGCTGTAGCCCCGTGTGGCAGGCAGACGGTTCACGTGAAAGCCGCGGGATCAGGAGATCGTAGTTGTTAGACCCCCAAAATGCACCTGTGAGCATTTTGGGGGTCTAATGCCAGCTGTCTGCACTGTCTGTCAGAGGTGCCAGCGGCCCCAGGGCCTTCAGCGCCTGCAGCATCCGAGACTTGGCGAGGTTCCTGGCGAGCGAGGATGGACGCTGCCTCCTGAACAGGCCGCACATGAACGTGTCGTACCGGGCGCCCGTCTGCGGCAACAATATCGTGGAGCCCGGGGAGGAGTGCGACTGTGGCTCGTCATGGGTGAGCGGGCAGCCCCAGGCACAGAACGGAGATAAAATTGGAGAAAAGCGGGGTTGCAAAGGGACCTTGGGAGGTCATCGTAGGTCTCGCTCGTTAGCTCTGGCTTGGATCGCTTTGTTGGCGTCGCTTGGATGTTTCTCCCACCTTTGCAATCAGAAGTGCGTCTGAGGTTGTGGGTGCCAATCTCTGTAAGACGTCCCCTGTCCTCACAGCAGGGGTCGGGGGGGCGAGCCAACAAGAGAGCGCCCTGGTACAGTGGGTTTGGGATACAGTGGGTCATGGTTGTCGTACCGACCTGTGTAGTTGCTGACGGGCAGCTGCCAGGGAGAAAAGCTCTGTGCGCAGTGCTGCCCGAGAGCATCAGCTGAGGGAGAAGGGCTGGAGCGTGTCTGCAAGCCGAGGAGATCCCCTGGGTCTGTCACCGCCCTCCTGCCCCAGGTGAAATCTTGTCCCTCGGTAGCTGCGCCTCCCGGAACTCCAGGGAGTCCCGTAATGTAGGAGCCTAGGACTGGAGGGAGCATGGAGAGGGCTAAGCCAGAGCTCAGGGTCCAACCGAGCGCCACAGTTGGGGTCTGGAACGAATCGTACTCCGCGGTCAGCCTGGCACGGCCTTGCTGCCTTCCTCTGTAGCAAGAGGCAGCATCCTCTGGCTTGAAGCCAGGGTCTGCGGCAACCTCGTAGCGGCGGGACAGTGAGAGGTCTGCCCACATGTCCCTGCCCTGAGGCAGGTAGGGAAGCCCAGAGCTGCGTGCCGTGATTTGAGGAGGGTTTGTGCAGTGGGTCAGAACGGCACGTGGACAGTTTGGCCAGGATGCCGCTGCCCGTAGCGGGCAGAGGGACTAGAGCCATCTTGAGGCCGAAGGTCTGAAGGAAGTCCCCAGGGCAGTGCTCTCTCACCCTCCCTCGACTTGGCCCAGCCGGACGCAGCACCGTAGGGCACCGGGCATTTTGGGAAGCGGCGGGGGAGGCGGTGTCGCCCCATGCTTGCCTGCTGATGCCCATGGGGAGAAGCCAGACAAAGTGTTAACAGTGGGGACGAGCAAGCGGGGCTCAGGTCTCTCCTCGGCAGCAGCGGACTCTGCTGCCGCGCCAGGGGATGATGCGTCCCAGAATGCCTGGGCTCTATTCCATGCTACGTTGCCTGTGCCAGCCGCATCCCGCAGCCCTGCCTGCCGGCTGACCTTCGGGCGGCCCTCTCCCCAGGCAGCCCCAGGGGATGTGCCCTGCTGTCCTCAGGTCCCTTTCAGCCACGCCGGTCTATGACTGTGCCAACGGGGGTGGGATTTGACCCTGGCGTAGGAGGCATCGTGGATAAAACGTGCTCCCTGCAGCTAGGTGAAAGGTGTGAGGGTGTCAGGCAGGGGGAGGCGGGGGTATGAATGGCTGGCGTCCCTGCTATCCTGCCAGAGGCTCCAAGTGGCCGAGCCTGCACCCGTGCGATGCGGTGCTTTCCTTTCTGCGACAGCCAGCGCGGTTCTCGTGGCCGCCCGCAACTGTTCTTTCTAGCGTTGGAAATGCAGTTGGGCCTCTGCCGTTGGCTTTCAGGAGTGCCAGAGGAGCCGGTGCTGCCAGCCCACCTGCAGATTCAGAAGCAACATCAAATGTTCCACTGGGCTCTGCTGCTGGGAGTGCCAGGTAAGCAGGGCGCTCTGAACGGTCGCGGCCCACGGCTGTCTCAACCGGAATGTCTGTGCCGCACACGCTTTGCGGTTCAGACGCGCACGGTCTGTCATGGCGTATGGGAGTGGGGCCACGCGTTCACGCTGTCGATTTTGCCCGCTCTGCTGCCACGCGGCGGAAAGCAGAGCCCACGGCATGTGCGCGTGCATGCCTGCAAGCTGTGCGAAGCCTTGTTGTCGACACGATGAGAATGCGGCCAGGTTGCAGGGAGTTTTCGTTGCCTCGGGGTGGCGTGGAGGGAAGGTGCGTTGCAGGGGTTTAAACAGGCTCAGGGACCTAGAGTTTCGTATGCTAACCAGCGGGAGCCGTCCTAACCGTGGTGCAGTTTTACGGGGAGCCGAGTGGTTTTTCAGCGTCCTTGCTTCCTGCCAGCAAAACCACTGCCAGATCTCCAGCCCTCGGGCACTTGTGTGTCTGAAGTCCCTCCAACCGGGTCCCGACCCTGTGCCGTGGCTTCTCTCTGCCAGTTCCTGCGCAACGGTACGTTATGTCGAAGCACTGTGGATGGCGAGTGCGATCTCCAGGAGTACTGCAATGGATCCTCTGCGGCCTGCCCGCCTGACTTCTGGGTCATGGATGGGCACCCGTGCAAGCGGCAGTCTGGCTACTGTTACAAAAGCAGGTGCCAGCTGGCCGACAAGCAGTGCACCCAAGTGTTTGGGAGAGGTAAGAGAGACCAACGTGCGATGGGACTGGGCTCTGACGGCTTTTTAGTGGGACGCCCCAAATCCGGTCAGGTCCCTGCGGCGTGACGGCCCAGGTGCGTACAAGTCCCAGGGCGCGGGGGCCTCCACACACCGGGCTGGACTTCCTAGAGTTTGATAAATTACATGTGCAGGCCAGCCATGCTCGCCCGCCTTGGCGCTTGCCAGCGTGGTCCCCTGGCAAGGGACCGGTCAAGTGACGCCTCTTTGTAGAGCGCCGCTGGCGGCAGCATCTTGCGTTGGCAGCCAGCTGCTGTTTCTCACGCGCTGGTGCTGAATCGCACAAGCCACGTCGCTGCTGCCAGGGGCCTGGATGTGGTGCAGAGACTAGGTCAGCGGAAAAGGTGGAGCTGCAACATGGGGCTTGCCAGCTCCCTGCAGTCTGCACAGGCCCTGGGTGCTGCAGGCGCCGGAGCCTGGGGAGCTGGGCAGGCGGTGGCAGTGGTGGTATTTTGGCGACAGGAGGCAGCCTGGTACTGCATTGTTGGCTTTCACAGCAGTTTGCGAAGGTGTCTGAGTGGGAGAGGGCCTAGGCCGGGGCGGGTCCCTCGCAGCATCTGGGGCCAGGGCAGGGAGAAGGTTGCATGCCGAATCTGCCGCAACCAAAGGGCCTTGAAGAGAGCCGGCTCGAGCATTGGCAGGAAGGGTTGGCTAAGGGCGCCGGGTTGGGACGGGTGACGTGTGCCCGTAAGCAGTTGCCGCGTCCAGTCTCCGTGTGTCTCTGGCAAGTGGCGCTCCCGTCTCTGTGTTTGCAGGGGCAAAAAGCGCACCTTTGGCTTGCTATGAAGAAGTCAATAGCAAAAACGACCGCATGGGGAACTGTGGCTCCCAGCCGACGGGGTACCTGAGCTGCCTGGCGAGGTACGAGTGGCTGAACTGGGAATGGCCTCCTGGCGAGTGGGAGCAGGGCTGCGTGCCAGACAGAAAAGTGGCGGCTCAGGCTATTTACCTGGATGTTGGCCCCCACGTGGCTTCAGGAGCAGGCTGGCGGGAAGCTGCCCGTTGCAGTGCAGTGGCAAAGGGCCGGGGTGGGGCATCTCCCGCTGCCCGATGGCCGTCGGCCTGTTGATACCAGCGTGGCGCTGCTGGGAATGGCATCCTGGGCCGCCTCCTAGGGGCCTCCTGCTCCAGCTCTGCCACCGTCTGCTCGCCCCGGGAAGGGGCAAGAGAAGCGGCTGAAGGGTGTCAGGTGCGGGCAGCAGCCTGCCTCCCTGGGTCAGCACGGCCGGCCGGCGGTGAGCCCCTCGCACACAGCTTGCTGCCCGCCGGCAGAGCGCTGGGCTGCGGGCATGGGCTCTTGAGAGAGACCAAGGGTCCGTAGGGTCTTCCCGCACCAAACGAGGAGCAGCAAACCATCTCGGCAAGGTGCCCGCGGTGCTGGGGAGCCTGCCGCGGGGTGCAACCGCGAAGCGCGGCGGGCCGAACACCCTACAGTCCCCCTTGCTGCCACCTCCGCCCCAGTTGCTCCCCCTGCCCAGGCCCACGGAGCCTTTTGGGATTTGCTTGTGCCGGGCACCGTGGGGTTTGCAGCCTCGGGGGGGGCTGTGCTCTGACAGCAGGGTTGCTGCGTCCGTGTGCTGTGGAAATCCCTGGGTGGTCTCAGTGCTCCCTGCCTTCCTGGCGTTCTGCCGGGGAAAGTGATTAGGAGGCGAGATGCACGCAGCCTTCGCATGGTTAATCCCCTCCTCTCCCGCGGCCACGTAAACCGGAGTGAGCGCGGCTTTCGTTCTGCGGGTTATTTTGTCGGCGATGCTCCGCTGGCAAGAAATGCCGCGAAGCTCTCCTTAGGCTTCCGAACGTGCTTTGCGGCACTTCGAGGGCGGCCGCTCCTTGGCTTAGTAGAAATGGTATCCCAAGTGGGTAGCGCGCTGTGGCAGTGTTGTTTCACAAGCTGTCCCTTACCTCCCCCGGTGAGAGGGAACAAAAAGCATGAAGTGAGAAGCAGCTGTGCTAGTGCACGATCCGCCCCCCCAAAACGGTGCTGGCAGAAGCAGCCCGTGTTGGACAGGCGCCTGAGTCCGAGGAGCGAGCTCGGAGCACGCTGAGGTGGCTAAGGCAGGCAGGCTTGGTGGAAGCCTGGCTGTCAACCCCATGTAGCAACAACCCCTCCTCCCCAGTCTGGTGACCCAGAAGACCCGGGGTGGGGAGCCACCAGCTGCCAGCTGGCCGAGAAGCACAGGTCTCCCTCGGGGTCTTCTGCAGCAGCAGGGAGCTGAGGGAAAGTGCTAGGGCAATCCTGCGTTTCTGGCTGGGATCCTCTGGCCTGCAGCAGCTGCCCTCTAGGAGGGTCTGGAAGGGAACACTGCTATCCTTCCCCGATCCTGTCACCCCCCACCTCGGGGCATGGGCTGCTCGGAGCCTCGCCGGACCGGACGGCTTCCTACAGCTGCGTTTCCCCAGGAAGTTGGGGTGTGCCAGGCCTGGGGATGCACCTGCATGGCACCAGGGGTGCAGTGGAGGGCAGGGAAGACACGGCAGGTGGGGCTCCCCATGCAGGGCTTGGCGACCGGAAAAGGCGGTGTGCCTGGACCACAAGGACAATGACCGGGGGGTGGCGGGGTGCAGAAAGCCTCACGGTCACCGTAACTCTGATGCCTTGGCAGTGACTTCCTCTGCGGGAAGCTGGTGTGTGAGGTGCCGCTAAAAAAGCCCTTTGTGAAGACGACAGCAGCCGTCATCTATGCCAGGGCCAAGAGTCACCTGTGCGTCACCCTGGACTACATGCAGGAACTGGGCAAGACGGACCCCATGGCGGTGAGCGATGGCACTGTCTGCGGGGACAAGAAGGTAAGCAAAGGCCCGCTGAGGTGTAGCGGTGGCCGTGTGCGCCAGGAAAGGGCGTGCTTTTGGCAGCGGGGGCAGTGCCCTGTCACTCTCAGACCCGTGCCCCAGGCCGGCGGTGTTGGGGTGACGTTGGCTCTGGGCAGAGGGCCCTGAGTCTTGGTGCAGCCCTCAAAGGGGCGGGCACAGTGCGGGCTGGGATTCCTAGCAACAGGGAATCGTGGGTCTGTCTGGCTTGTAGATCTGCATAAACCGGAAGTGCGTGGATGTTTCTGTCCTGGGCTACAACTGTGACGTGGCGGCCAAATGCAACAATCGCGGGGTGAGTGCAAGCAGCATGTGTCTTACCACGGGGAGTGACCCCATAGGGGAGTCACAAGCGTGGGCCGACACCTGGCCCGTGCAGTCTGGCGACGCGGCTGGCGCATGGCGGGCGTCAGTGGAAGCCACCGTCCGTCCCCCGAGCAGCTCGGGTGCTTCACGGGTTCCCTAGCCAAGGTGGGAGGAACTGCCGGCACCCCTGGGCTGTGAAGCACGGCGCTGTGCTGATACGGACCTGTGCCCTTTGGGTTGGTGTTGAGTTGCTTGGGTGGGCGGTGACCCGAGCCTTGGGCCAGTCTGCAAGGCCAGGAGCGCAGCTGTGTGCCACCCGGAATTGCTTCCGGCTCCAAATCCGAGCCTCCTTCACGGTGCCTCGGGAAACGTGGGCTCGGGGAGCCCTTGAGGCCTGAGATGTGACGCGAACGTGGGGATGGGCTCGTGCACAGCTAGCAGACCTGAGACAGGGATGGCGAAAGACTTGCCCGCGAGTACGGGCAGCGGGAGTGCCCCGGAGCTGGGGGAGCATGGGGGCAGCCTGCAACACGCTGCCTCGTTCCCCCTTCCATCACGCTCGTCTCGCAGGTCTGCAACAACAGAGGAAACTGTCACTGCGAATCTGGCTGGATGCCGCCCGACTGCACTGTTAAGACGAAAGCTGGCTTTGGGGGAAGCATCGACAGCAACTTCAGAAGCAGTCAGTAGCCCAGAAATGGTCCTTTTCCTCCCAGACTGACATCTGAAATGCTTCCCAGGGAAATTCCCTGACACGGGTCCCACGGGGCAGCCGAGATGCCCAGTTAGGGGACAAAGTGCAGCAAGACAGCCTCTTGTTGAACTGTGGCAGTGGACAGAGGAGGGCAGCCCCCACCTTTCTTTTGCCCGCCAGAGTCCGTTACAGTCATGCCCGGTGACAAAAACTCGGGAATTACTGGTGCGCTCTCTCGGCGTGCGGCCAAAACGTAGCCTCTCTCCCCTGGCCAGTGATGATGGTCCTGGTGCACCATTGCCGGCGTGAGTTGCTAGAGCATGCCAGGGTGCATCGGGGCTTTTGCAGGCAGGCTGGCAGGGGTACCCGGACCAGGTCGAGCACACAAGAAATGTGAGATGTGCAGAGCTTGCTGTAAAGTCCCAGCCCCTGCTTGCAGTGGGTGGCGTCGAGGTTACGGTGCCCGCTCCGAGTAGAACTGGTCCAGCTGTGTAGGTGGTTGACCCGGAGGAGCCCAGCTCTGGGGCTGCTCTCAGCTGACAGCTGGGTGAGAGGCTAACTGGCCTTGGAACTTGCCGACGGGCGCGCCATCCTTCGCGGACGGCCCACCCCAGAGCCGCGCTTCTCTGGCCTCAGAGCCCCGCGCCCTGCCCAGGCGGGGCTGCGGGAGCCGGGAGACCGCGCGTTCAGGACCCACGCCATCGGTAACAACCGTTTCCTTTGCAGGTCCGATCACCGACGGAGTCCACATGACCACCGTGAGAAACTGGCTGCTGCTGAGCTGCTTTCTCTTTCTGCCGGTCCTGATCGGTTTTGTCATCCTGGTGATGAAGCGCAAGAAGCTGGCACAGTGCTGTGACAAGGAGGAGCTGCAGGCTGACAAGTAAATGGGTCTGTTTGTAGGGGAATGGTTGGCATTCGGCTCAGGGATCTGCCTGGGTCTGGGGCCAGCACCCGTAGCTGGGTGGCATGCTGCAGGAAATCCCCTGCTGGGCCGAAGTCGGGGCGAGACCGCAGGGCCCCGGGCAGGGGCTGGGAGCCTCAGACAGCGGCTGGGGGGCTCCTGCCATGTTTTGCCCTGGGGGCTTGGTAGAGGGATGGGAGGAGGTGTCTGGACGCGATGGGACTGTAAAGGTGGGACGAGCTGTAGCCGAGCGGTAGGAGCCCGTGGGTGAGATGGATCAGAGCGGCAGAAGAGGGGCCGGCAGCTCAGCCTAAGAGGAGCGCATTAGGGCAGGAGGTGCTCCCAGCGGGGCGGCTGTCTCCAACTGGGCTGCCCCACGCAGGCCTGGCAGTGGTGGAGGGCTGCAAAACAGCGGGCTGAGCAGAAACTGTCAGAGCAGCGGAAGGTAGCTCGCCCTGCCTCTCGTAGGGTTGGCGGGGTGGCCGCTGACGTAGGATTCCCTGGTGTCCCTGGACAGCTGAGAAGGGAGACCTGCAAGTGTCGCAGTGGATACACCAGGCCTTGCGAGGCTGTGGTGGGTGTGAGCCTGTTGCATTGAGAGGGCGGGTTATTCAACCTCGTGCCCCACAAATTGACACAACGCCTGGCTGAGTCGTAGCAGAAAGGCTTTAATAACAATACCGCAAGCAAGCTTATAAAACCAAACGGCAGAAAAAGACTCCTTCTCAAACTAAAATGTGCTACTTCACAGAGTCCTAGTGCACGTTTAGCAGCAGTAGCGTTCTCTCCCCGAGGCCGGCGAAGGAAGCTGGTCCAGTCTTGCAGCCTGCACCACGCAGGACCCGTTGCTGGTTAAGCCGGGTGCGATGCAGCAGCAATCTCTCTCTGCTTCTCCGGGAGTGCGCGCCTCGCTGGCAAATTCTGTGAGGTCTTAGCCTGTTTAATTGTATCACTTGGAAGCCTTTTTCCTTGATAGTTGGTCGATTAGAGTCCAAACAAGGGGAGGAAAAGGTGTTGCTCACCATCTCATAACTGTGAGTTGCCAGGCTCCTGTTCTTGCATTGCTTAGGGGTAAAAGATGTGCATCTCTGCAGACCCTGTTCTTGTAGGTCGGTTTACAGGCGATGGGCCTGAGCAGTCAGACAGGATACTTAGAGGTGTCAGTCGAGCATGTTTGCAGGAGCTCGTACAGGCGGCGGTTTGTATTTCAACCCTCCCCCCACGGAACGGGTCAGACATTTTTAGCACCCTGTACCTTAGGTGGTTTGTTGGCGGAAGCGTTTGTCACGTACAGGACATCTTTCCTGTTTTTTTACAAGTTTCTCTTCAGATGCCTTTTGTTTCCTCTAGCTGCTAGGGCCATTGAAATGCATCTCTCACTTTCCTGCCTTTTCTTGGCTTCTGAGACGCACACACACATGTGATGAGTCGGTCGGTTCTCTGTGAACCATCTCCTTGGTGTGACCTAATCTCGCACAGCGCATGAGACCGAGTGGGGTTGCTCTATTTGGTATGGTCCCAGCTGGCCCTTGGCGTTTTTGTGCAAGAGGTGCTGTGATTTTCATGTGGTGGCCAAGATTTGACGTGTAGGCCTGGCCGAGCTGTTGCTGTTCTCACCGTCAACAAGCAAAGGACAGGTGATAATGATTAGGCACCTTACAGGTTCTTGAAGGACACTGAGGGTAGTCCCAGAGGACCAGGGCCTGTAGCTGGAACTGCTGCTCCCCAGAGGGCCCTCTCCTTTCCCACGCGGGAACTCAGGAAGGATGCGGCAACCTGGGAGTGGAGGAAGACTGCTCCCCCGTACAGGCCAGCAAGCTGCAGGGCGTATGTGGGCGTGTTCCCAAATAGCCATCAGCTATCCCAGCACGGTCTGAAGAGCCGCTCGAGTAGGGGAAGATATGTCCGCACGTGCAGGTTCGCCAAGGGCGATTAGCCAGCTGAGGGTGACTAGCAGACAGGGCCAGAGGCTCTCGTGGATTTTTGCCCGCGCTGCCAATGGCAGCACGGAGGGTACTGCCGTGCCCCAGGGTGGGGTGGAACCGCCCTGACGCCCCTGGTCCTCATTGGCTCCCTGCGGCACGCGAGTACAGCTCTGTGGAAATGGGAAGGAGGGCTAGACACCGGCAGGAAATCTCCCAACCAGGCCCTCAGCCCTCGGGAACAGCATGAATTCTACCCTCTCTGGGGAAAAGTCTGTTTGGAAAGCAAGAAAGCTGCCCACAATCCCCACTATGCCTTCCGGTAGTGAGGTAACGAGCCTGGAGGGTGCCCATACCTCGGGAGGCCGAGGGAGAGGATCGTGAGATGCGTGGGGAACGGCGGGTGGATACGTAACGCTGTGACGCGGGAGCGAAGGGATGGGAGAGTGCCCGTGACTAAATGTAACGGGTCCGATAGCGAGTTGTCTCTCTGTAACTTTGAGATGGCGTCGGATACCCGTCCAGTGCCTGATTTACAGCCTTTGCGTTGTTATTTCTCAATGCAGCCTAGAAGACGTGGGCAAGCCGGGAGATCCCAGGTAAATGTCAGCTGTCTAACAGTGCCGTAGGCCCGGAGCACCGGTTGCTTTGCTGTTAGTATGTGTCAGATGGACGTGTCGACAGCTTTGCTCGGGGGGCTAGGCGGTTGCCCCCTCGATCCGAAAGGCGCTGCTTTGATCCTGAAGGTGAGGGTGAAAGGGACAGCAAGCACGCAGCCTTTGGCCTGCTCTGGTGCCCGGTCTGGCTGACGTGATGCTTGCCACACGCAGTATAAGAAAGCAAAGCGCATCCTCAACGTGGCGTAGAAATGTCGGGAGTGCCTAGAGCTAGCTTCTCGCGTGCGCAGTAGTTTGCCATTGCCAACCTGCTGCCTTAGCGCTGTGCTCTGGAGCCTGGTGACAGCAGGGTGTTTAAGTCCTTGGTCTGTTTGCTGCAGGGCGTAGCCCAGAGGAGCTGAGGGCCCGTGCTGGGAATTTCTAGAGGCAGACAACCCGAGACATGTTTGGAAGACGGGCCGCGAGAAGGATGGAGCAGCCCCGCAGGGCTTCCTGCAGAAGCGGGTGCCTGTTGTAATGAGTGAGCGTGGTGTATTTTCTCCTGAGTGGGTGCCGCAGCTTTGAGTGGGGTGTGTGTTTTGCTGAGAGTCCCACTGGGAGTCGGCGGTGGTGTCTGATAGCCCTCTTCCCTGCCCAGTGAGTGCCCATGTGGAATAAAAAGCTTTCTGGGAGTGACTAGCAACCTGGCTCTTTGCCCCCCATGTGCCTTGCAGGGGCTCCCGCCCCGAGGGGGCCCACAGAGCCTGCCGAGCCAGACGCCAAGTAGTGCCAACTAAGCCGCGGGTGCCCAGGCATGCGCTTCTTGAAGCGGGAATCGACACAGCGGTCCTGCGGAAGTGACCGAAGCTGCTGAGAAGGCAACCTCCCTACCTCAGCGCTTTGTGCACTGGCTGGCAGAGCTAACCGAGTCGGGCCCCGGGGCGGGGCGGACCACGCTGCTTCCTCCCGCAAAGACCCCCGGGTGCAGGGTGTTCCCTGCAGGTCCCACAGCGCAAGCCAGGGCTTAGAGACCATGGCTGTCGTTAGCTCAGGGAGCTGCAAGAGAGGGTGGGGGCTGACTCCCGATGCCTGCTAGGTCTAGCAAGGTGTTGAGCTCCATCTCAGCCGTGCTTTGCCAAGGATTTTTGGCAAACGCCTGCCCAGGGTCATTGGGGTGGCACTGTCTTTCCGCCTTCACTTAATGATGCGCAGCTGGGAGGCAGCGCTCTGCGTGGCAGAATGGGAGGGAAGCCTGGGCAACGCTGGAGACAGATGGCTGGAGCAGCAGGAGCTGCGACCGCAAGGCCTGGCTGCCCAGAGTGGGACACTGCGGGTGCTTCTCGAGGGCCATGGCACACATAGGCACGGCGGAGCCTGCCCTGTGCACTGTGGAAGGCAGTGCGTGGCAGAGCCGTGCAGGGGCAAGGCAGGACCTGGCCAGGGCAGAGGCCGCGTCACTTAGGCAAGAGGCTTTGGCAGTCCTTGCGTGCAGAGTTGCTGTCTGTGCACGCGTGTCAGCGACGTGCGGGCAAAGGGACTCGGATCAACGGGGGGGGCCATAGTACCGGAGAAGGCAGGGGCAGTGCCAAGCAGCCACCTTGAGCGCGGGGTCAAGCAGTGTGCACTGGTGCTCAGGGCCTGTGCCAGCTAGGGGTGTGCGGCTGCACTGTGTGCTGGGGGATGCAGCCTGCCCACCCAGCGGGCACATTCTGGTCCTGCCAAGCAGGAGCCACAGGCGTCGCCCACACCCCAGTGCCCCCGGTGCCTGCTAGGGTGCTATGGGAAAAGCTCTTGGTAGCCCAGCTTGTCCGGCTGTCGGGGCGGGGGCACCGGGCCGTGGCCTCAGTGTGGCTGGTGGTCAGACTGTGGCGCTTGGGGAAACGCTTGGGCCTATTCTGTCTTTTTTCTGGCGGCTGGCCACTGTCAAAGGTCTCCTACAGCGTCGTCGTAGAACGGGTGCCCTCTGCCGTTCACCTGCAGAAGCAGTAAGCGGCGTGGTCTCTTACCCCAGGCCGGTCCCTTGGTGGTCCCCGCAAGCCTGTCACAGGGAGGATGTGGTGCCTAGCGATGCTGCCCTGGTTGGGTTGTAGCTTGCCCGGTGCCCTTGGGTCTGTTGTGGTCCGAAATGCGCTCTATCACCAGCTTCTCAGGCTGGCTCCGCTGCAACCAGGGCCATGGGTGCAATGAAGGTAGGGACAGGCATTGCCCCTACGTGCAGCAAAACAGCTTGGTGTGGGAACCTCCCTGCCGGGCCCGTGACTCTGGTGCCTTGTGACAGATGTTTGTGCTCCCGGGGAAGTGGGGACAAAGTGACCGTGGCCTCGTGATGGCCCCTGGACCTCCAGGTGGGCCCTCCTGTGTAGGACGTGTGGCAGCCTGTCTGCTGCCAGAGCGGGCTCCTGCACAAGCTGCCGCCCCCAGGCTGAGGGTGCTGGGGTACAACCCGGCTGGGCCTCTGGGAATGTGACCTAGCAAGGAGAAATGGCTTCAGACGGCTGAGAAGGAGAAGCTGGTCCCAGCCACAGGCGTGGGGTGGATCAGCTCCTGACGGGGGGTCCGTTCATCCGTGGAGGTTGTTTGTGTTTCCCGGTGTAATCCATTTCCTAGCTTTTAGGGTCGGACGGGACCCATCAGATCATCGAGTCCGCCCCCTGCCCTGGGCAGGAAAGAGCCCTGGGGTCAAACGCCCCCAGCCAGGTGTTTGTCCAATCTCCTCTGAAATACCTCCAAGGAAGGGGACAGCAACACCGCCCTTGGAAGCGTAGTCCGTATTTTGGCAACCCGCACTGTAAAGTTTTTTCCTGCTGTCCAGTCTAAGTTTGCTCGCCCTCACTTTGCGGCCCTTTGGTTCTAGTTACCCCGAGAGATGCCCTGGTAAACTTTGTATCCCCTATTTCCTGCTGCCCCCACCCCCCCATGAGCTTGTAGATGGCCACAAGATCACCTCTCGACCTTGTCTTGCGGAGGCTGAAGAGGTCCAGGTCCCTCAATCGGTCCTCGTAGGGTCTTTTCTGGAGGCCTTTAACCAGATGGGTGGCCCTTCTCTGAGCCCTCTCCTGGTGATCTACATCCCTCCAAACGGGACGCAGCTCTCCAGCTGTGGCCTGACCCATGCCGCCTAGAGGGGAAGTATCACCTCCCCGGCCCTGTTTGTGATGCACCTGCTTATGAAAGGAAGAGCACGGTTAGCTTGACTTCTGACTTCATCGCATTGGCGGCTTGTGTTTGTTTTGGAGTCGACTCCGACTCCGAGATCCCTGTCCGCAGTTGCGCGACGTAGAAGGGTGCCTGCCGGGCTGTCGGAGTGTGGCTGATTCTCCCTCCCCAGGTGCAGCACATGACACTTAGCTTTGTTCACCTGCCTCCTAGTCTGTTCCGCCCACCTTCCCAGCCCGTCCGAATCCGCCTGGAGGCGCTCCCTGCCCTCGAGTGTGTCTCCCTCCCCGCCTTGGTTTGGTGTCATCTGCCAACTTGGACTGGGTGCTTTCTACTCCCTCGTCCAAGTCACCCGTGAAGATATTGAACAGTACTGTCCTGGGACAGAGCCTTGTGGGACTCAGCTGCCCACACGTCTCCAGGTAGAAACCGACCCATTCACCGCCGCTCTCCAGGTGCATCCCGCAAGCCAATTTTCCGCCCTCCGGACTGCGTGATAATCTACGTGGCTACTATGTCGTTTGTTTATCAGAGTTGGGTGCCACGCTGTGTCAAAGGCCTTTTTAAAGTCTAAGGACATAACATCCACCTCTGTTCCTTCGTCCAAGCGTTTTGTAACCTGCTGGTAAAAAGAAAGCAGACTAGTCGGGCAGGATCTGCCTGCTGTGAACCTGTGCTGGTTGCGTCCGCGGTTCCTCCTGCCAGCGCGACTGCTTCTACCAAGGATACCGAGGATGCTGGTTTCCCCAAGTCGATGGTGACACTCGGCACCTGCGCCGGACTGAGGTAGGTGCCTCTCGTCCTGGGATGGGGAAAGACAAGGAGCATGCGGGGTCCTTGCGGTATATGGCACACGCAAATTGAGCTCGTCCTTAGTTGCCCGTTGCTCTTGTTACCAGATTTGCCTATCACTTTGGGATGTGCTCGTTTATTAGGGATGCGTTTCTAGGGTCTTGGTAATTCTATCAATGTGCTGCTTGTGTTACTTGTGTTTCTATACGGAGCTGTATCTCTCACTTCTGCCAGTCCTCACCCCCAGCGGAGCTATCTTGCAGGACTCAGTTTCAACGGGGCTGGGTTCCTCTAGTCACCAAATCAGTCATGCACACAAATAAACACAGGTTAACGTGACACCCTTGACCCGGCCGGGTTGATCAGCATAGACAGGCTGACACCCTCACATGCCAAGAATCATTTCATCAGAGCAACAATAAATTGCAGTCAGACACAAGCACACAGGTGAACAGACTGCCTCTGCATCCGGCTGGGTGTCCAGCTGACACCCTCGTGGGCCAGCATTCAGTTCATTAGGGCCCGTCTGAGCCAAACTGGGTCAATCAGCCTGTACAAGCTGATCCCCTTATGTGTTTCAAACTCAGCACGTCCCAATCTTTAGCCTCTTGATGAGCAGACCCCACAGGATTTCTGGGCTTCACAGGGATCTTTAGCTTAGGTAAAAGAAGCGTTGATGCAGAGCAAGTGGGGAAGGAGAAGTAGAGAAGGAAAAATATACCCAGTTACTACCAGTTTGACTATAAAAGTTATTTATTGCTAAGTATATGAAATATATATAATGGTACTAGTAGTAATAGCCATGCAAAGGAAAACAAACACAAACAATTACAATACTACCCTGTTTTCACTAAGTATTTAGGGAATCTTAGCTCAAGCTTAACTAATACAGTTCAGGTTCAGAAATTTATGCCTAAAGAGAGAGAGAGAGCGCTGGGATCTCACCAGTCCCAGGCATTCGGGTTGTTTGCTGACAGGTAAAGTTTGTAGCACGATCCTTGAAGGGAGACGATCTGTTTCCTCCAGCTTCTTCAAGAACAACAGCAGATGGTGTCAGCACACACACTGCTGCTTTTTTACAGATTTTTATACCGTCAGTTCAGCTTCTTTAAAGCATTGTCAATAGTGTCAATCATTGTCTTTTCTCTTGACAAGGGGTTATCTGGTTTGGAACCTCTCAAAAAAACTGCTTGATACTCAGGGAAACATAAGGCTAGGGAGTAACCAGACACTTGGGAGCCAGCTTGAAATTCCTATGGAAAGCAGATATACTGATTGGGATACTTCATTGTTTCTTCAGAAACAATAGATAGCTTGCAGCATCAGGGTTTTGAATTTTTACCTGTTGTGATCAAGCCTCAGCTTAGCATGACTTTTCCAGATCTTACTATAGTCTTTTAACAGACTTAAGGCAATTATTGGAGTGTTTATAACCTTCTGTGGGGAGGATTTCCACCAGTCGTCCCGGGAAAAGTATGACAACATTTGTGGTCAGGTCTCCAACGGGCTGGAGGCTGTGATGAACCCCTTTACCATTGTTCAAATGTCACCCTCGGACTCGGTCTCTTGTCTCAGCATTCCCTAACCCGGCGACCGAGTTTTAGCCAATCAAGTTTAACTAGGCCTTCCATAGTGGGACCGGGGAATGTACGGCCCGAGATGCCTATTAAACTTTACTTCTGCTTACAGGTGTGTGTGTGTGTGTGTGTGTGTG